CAGCACACGTTTGCAGCAAATGACAGACTTATTTCCACATTTCTGTTTCCATTATTAAGTTTAGCTTAAGTCTGGGCTTGAAAGAATTGCAGTGCCACGGCAATGGGAAATAATAAAAATGTAAAATCTTAAAAGCACTCTCAGATAAATAACAATTTGCCGGCATGTGTAGTTATATTGATGTGAAAAGCTCAAAAGTCAACTGTGATTGAGCATAGTTTTCTTTTATTGTTTGTCCAAAGAAATCTCCTGCTGGGTTTGTCTTTTCTTTGAATTTGTTTTTCATAGCTGACAGTTTTATTTCCTTGTTTGTGGACCTTTTTCCAACCTTCTTGGAATAGGGGTCCTTATTTCATAACACAGTACTTGGATTGCATAAATAGAATCAAATTGTTAACACTCATCAATAGAAATCAGAGGATTACGAGTCAGCTGCTTGGTGTCAAGGTTTAAATCATTTGCTTCCTAGTAATACACTTTTTAATTTACTGTATGGGCCGCATGCCGCACACCACAGCATTGAAAAGATCCAACTGCGAAATAATAAAAAAGTACGGTCATTCAGTTCAAACTTACTGCTTCACAACATTTTCGCTATCGTCGGACACGCTTTGGGTTGCTGCTTTCTGCTGACTCGTGCGCCTAATTGTAAGTAACAAGCAAACAATTTTTAGCACAAAATGGGATTGGATCGTTCGTCCGGGCCAATTGAGTGCGGACGGAGGCAGAAGTAGAGGTCGAACCTCTACTGGCGCCCCTGACAAAAAATAAATGGCGGCCCAAAATTCTTTGCAAACACTTTTTCATGCTTGATTAATTTTCGCAGCTAACTTTTTTTTGTTTTTGCCACTTTTATTTCGCCTTTTATTACCATTCATTTTTTAATAGAAAAGTGTTAAGTCTGACAGTTCAAGTCGCCCACTTTTTGTGCTTTGCGAAGTATTATGAACGCTTGAGTAAATGCCCATACTGGCCCATAGACCATTGCTTAAGCATTGGCTTAAATCGCTCAGAAAGGGGATCGGTTGTAAAAGTTCAGAGCTGAATTGAAGTTTAAAAGTGCCGTGTCAATGCTTTCGGAGCATGCATTTCCCTATCTGACGTGCTGGTAATTAATTCTGACAAAGTTTTTTCTTCCGCTGTCTTGTGAACAGCGTGGAAAACATTTGCCAAAAATGAAAACTTGCATCAACCCATTATAGAACAGAGGCAAGTCAAGACAGAGTTTGCATATTGTAGGTGGATATTGGAAAAAATATTAAAAAGAACTACTGCCTCTTATCGGTGCGTATTAGGTAATGATTGCTACACAAGCTCCCATCATTCAATGTCTTCAATTAGAATTATTTCTTGGACTTCACCTTATTAGCTGCTCCCTGCCTTAATTTGGCCCTAGAGCACCATAATAAGTAGTCATGCATACGTTAGAATGGTCTGCTAAACGATTAGACTTTAACTTCTACGAAGCTGTTTAAAATAGGTAGCATATTGCTGCTCCTCTCTCTTATGATAGATCTTGGCCAAGTTTCTTGCTGGCATCTAAATAGCATGTTAAATGCACGTATGTTATCTTGCATTAACTGATATTTGTTGAACGTATAGTCAGCACTGTATTTGCTTTCAATTTACTAATGCATTGCTTTGCTTCTTTGCCTTTAACCTACACATACTCACACATGGTGAACACACACACACACATACCTAGTCGTTGGAAAGGGACAACGCTTGACTGGCTGGTTGCCATTGATGTTGCATAAAAGCACGTATCCGCTGAAATAAAGACAGCTTTCAGATACGTATTTATTTCGATTTCGTATTTTTGTTGTTGTGCTGCTTGCCTTGCCTCGCATGTTATTGTTGGCTCATATTGCATGGCAATACACAACGAATACAAGTATACTATATACATCATGATATGAAACGCATTGTAATCAGCATTGTGTATTGTGTTTTGGCATTTTATGCTATTATTGTTGTCGTGCATGCACTCGCCAGGACTTCAATAGCAAACTATTTCGGATTCATGGAACATTTAAAATGTACTTTTATGTATTGTTATCACAAACAAATAAAGCCAATTTAGCTGATTAAGTTTTAAAAAAGGCAGCTGCCCAAAGTGATATTGCTAAATGCGCGGAACTACGAGATACCCTCCACTTATTTCTTATTAAAAGGTGAACTATTAAACAATAGAAATTGTTTAGAAATTACTTATGAATTGCATTTTGAAACATGGTTTTGTTTTATAAGTATTTCCAGACTTCATTCCTTTAGTTCTTTTAATAAACATGATTACACAAATTTAATTTGTAATTAAATTGCATTTGATATGATGATGTTTATTTGTTTTAAGCCGACATATTTACTTACATATGTACATATGTTAACAATAATTGTTTTGAAGGCCGCATTTTAACTTTGTCACAGAATTTTTTTTCTAAACAAAGTGTTTTTTTATTGTAAACACGAGAATGAAATAACTCAATCCTTACAGTATTTCATATTAAATTTACTTTTATATATACGAGTATATTGGCAAAAATAATGCTGATCCTTGGGCTTAATCAATCTGTCGCCTTGTCAGCAGTTTCGGTTCTCAGTAGGAGCGCGATTGAAGTGGAAGATGCAGGTGTTTTACAAGAGAAAGGACTCAGATTTGTATTAACAACTTTGCCCGCGTAGTTGCCAAAGAGAAATCATGATTCGAAAACAAAAGTCTCGAGTTGCTGCAATATACATACATACATACACATTTATAAAGAATTTATTATGTTGTATATACATATGTATAATGGATACGTTTCTATCAGCAACAGGCTGGTCGACAAATGCACTTAAGCAAATGGAAAAAGTTTAATTGGTTAAGTGGGGGAGGGGGACAGAGGGTGGCCTAAAACAAATGGAAAACTAAAGGACACACAAATGAGGTAAAATGCTGGATAAATTTGCTGCTTTAATTCATTTAAATAATACGCAACACAGCGCAAAGGGCAATGAAAATAAATGACTGCTCATCAAAATAAACCGTTGAAAAATTAAGAAAAATGTTTGAAGCGTCTGTTGGCCGACAAAACAAAATAAAACGGAGAGAAAAATAATTTGAAACGATACGAGAAAAAGAAGTTGGCGTGGAAAATGAATTTAAAGTGTGTAGCAGGTGCGCGCATTTGTTGGGCAACAGAACGGTGAAGAACGTTTTGAATTTAAATAAACTGAAATATGTTGTTTGCCTCAATTGGCAACAGTTGCCTCTCGCACATGACTCTTGAAATCAGGTGCTGAAATAGCGACCAAGTCAAGGTTGAGGCATCCATGCTTGTACGAGTGTGTGTGCAGTTTTTTATTTTTTTCCCAGTTTTTTGTCCTCTTCATATAGTGGTTTTTGTGTTTGTGCAACGTGGCGTGAATGAGCTAAGCCTACAGTTCCTCCAGAACATGCCCCCATCCAGCGTCCAAATTCGAAGTGCAAATGTGCAGTGTAATTAAAAGTGTGCAAGTGCATGATAGCAATTTAAAACAAAAAGAGAGCAGATTTCTGTTTCGTTTCCTCCTCTTCTTTCGTGTTTACTGTCAGCTTGCCAACTACTTGGGCCCAAGTTCATTTCCATCGTTACCTACAGAACGAGTGCGAGTGTGGGTAATTTCCACGATTATGAACTGTGTGAGGGCTGGCTTTTGATTGCGCTTATGTCGGTCTGACTGTGGCTATGTGTGTATGAGTATTGAAGGCTACGGGACGAGCTTGTCAATCATGTCAGCCTGACAAAAACTGAATATGCCAAGCCATTTTAGCAATAGAACCTTTGGCAGACATACTCGTACAAGGATATGTGCTATGTATTGGTTTGCTATGATGATGGCTTCGTCTTTGAGTTGATGCTTTTAATTAACGTTTGGCCAACATAAATTGAGCCGACATACATACATACACGTAACTCTACACACATCTCAACTGACCGATGACCAGTTCCACTTTTTCATAATAGAGCTGCTCTTTGAGCGGAGCAATTGGCATTAATTGAGTTTCCACTTGCTTTGCTCCCACTTCCCAAGTGATAATTGGGGTTTCTGCCTTTACAATAAACCCATCATTAGGCCAAGAGTCATGCAAGTATGCTAATTGCCGGCATTCACTAGAGATACTGTCTCCTTTTGCAATGCTCTTTTTAGGTTCTTATCAGAAAGAGTTTGCGGATCAAAAAAACTAGAGGGAATTATAAATTCATAAAAATTAAATTATCAAATACGATTTATATTCTTTTGTTTCCCCACTACAATGTTCAGTGCATAAGTCAGTTATTGTACAGCTTTTTTGTAGGCTTTCTTACCTTGTAAGTTGAGACTTTGTTATATTAATCATATTTGTATTTTTAATTTTAAATCTTAATAAATATATAATATGTTAATACATTTATATTGTTTTTGAATAAATCGACAGAACTACTTGTTGATTTAAATAAATAAATAAATAAATAAAATTTCCTGTCATTTTTGCTAATTATGTGTAACCCTCGAAAACAAAAAAAATAATAATAATAAAAAGAGCACTGAATAAAGTCAAGTCTAAATATTTGAATAAAATCAAATTGAAGCTTTGTCCATTTCATTAGTTGACAGGATTAGAGAACCAGCAAACTGGTCCATAAAGAGAATTAAGTATTAGGGATTCTTGCCAATTCCAAAATAAATATTTAAGCTACGAATTGGAAGGCGGAATTGAGTCTCAAAAACTTGCCTTCTTCTTCATTATGGAAGAAGCTCAAGTTAATCTTTTTACGGTGTTTTTGAAACCTTGTTCATTCTATGATGAATGAACACCTCATACTGTTTTAGAAAATATATATTTCAGAGAAACGCTGTGTTATAGTAGGGAGCAACTGCATCATGTCTAATCAAGCGTTAAATTAATTAGAAGCGCTATAGAGTTTTGCCTTAAAACACTGCTTCAACTGAATAGGAAGTATCAGTTAAATTCGAAAATCAACAAGTAGAATGCGTTTGAGGAAGAACAAATGGCATTTAAAATTAAGGGGTTTGTTGCTTATCAATAGTTTCCTGCTCTTTGGGATCCTAGTGGTCATCAGCTGGAAGCCTCGCACGCAAGGCAAGTCGGAAAAAATATCTCAGCCAAATTTTGAAATTGTGAGATTGGATGAAGAAGTGAATACATCGGACGGACCGAAAAAGGACTGGCATGACTATAAAGCCATGATAATCGACGCCAAACGTGTGGGCATTGGAGAGCAGGGAGAGCCGGCTACTTTGAATAACTTGGCCAGTGATTTGAACAAAGAACTGTTTGCAAAACATATTTTCAATGCGCTGCTTTCCGACGCTATATCGGTGAATCGTTCATTGCCCGATGTTAGGCCTAGAGAGTAAGTTTTATTATAGTTTCTCCCAGAAGCTAATAAATTATTAAATCCATTCATCCATCAACTCAATCGATGGATCAATTCAATAGGTGCAAAACCAAACTATATCTGAAAAAGCTGCCTATGGTGAGCATCATTGTAATTTTCTTCAACGAGCACAAAAGCGTTTTGTTGCGATCCGTGCACAGCTTAATCAACCGTTCGCCGCCCGAGCTAGTTAAGGAGATTATTCTTGTGGACGACTTCAGCGATCTTGACTCTCTACACAAGTCATTAGACGACTACATCGCTCAGCACTTTACGAAAGTGCGAATTTTGCGTCTGAACGAGCGATCTGGTTTAATACGCGCACGCATGGCCGGAGCGCGCATTGCGAAAGCTGAGGTCTTAGTCTTTATGGACTCACACATCGAGGCCGGATATAATTGGCTGCCACCGTTATTGGAGCCAATCGTGTTGAACAGTCGGACAGTAATGGGTCCCACTATTGATTTCATAAATGGCACACAGTTCTTCTATGGAAAATATGATTATGGGATGCGTGGTATCTTCGACTTTTCATTGAGGTATTTAAAAACAAGCAGGCTGCCCGAAGACCAAAAACATCCATCGGAGCCATTCAAAAATCTTATAATGATGGGTGGATCAGTCGTTATATCCGCAAAGTTCTTTTGGGAGCTGGGAGGTTACGATGAAGGTCTAGATATTTACGGGGGAGAGCAATTTGATTTGAGCTTCAAGATATGGATGTGTGGCGGCCAACTCTATGAAGCACCCTGTTCCCGTGTGGCACACTTAAGTCGTTCATCCCATTTGCACCTCTACAATACAAAGAACGTAACAGTCACAAAATATATTTACAGGGTAGGCATTCGTGAACACTGAAACCAAATTCGAAAAGGTAAATTATTTGCACATAAATTTTCATTGCAGAACTATAAACGCGTGGCCGAAGTTTGGATGGATGATTACAAAAAGTATGTGAGCATGCGTATGGGCAGTTCTTATAGAAGAGCTAATCCCGGTGATCTTACATTAGCGAGAGCTTTGCGCTCTAAATGTAAACCATTTAAATGGTTCTTGCAGAATGTGGCATATGATGTAATGAAGAGATTTCCGCCTATTAAGCCTCCTAATTATGCTTATGGCGCCATACGAAATGTAGCCGAACCAGACATGTGGTAAGGCCTATTATCCATTCGTTGTTAGCCTTTACTTATTTTTCACATTTCATAATTTTTATAGTGTAGATGCTCATCCTATTACGAACGGAAACCATGTTGATCTCGAACAGTGCGCCGAGGCCGTGCCGCAATCCAATAGCTCGCAATTCTGGGAACTTACCGCGTATCGGGACTTACGCTTGGCTAGCAAAGACTTTTGCCTTGAGGTTAGAGCACCGCAATACATTACATCACTTTGGATCTGGAGATGCCACTATCAGGGTAGAAATCAATATTGGTTGTACGACTTCCAAGCCAAGCTACTGAAGCAAGTGTTTAAAAACACAACACGCTGTCTCGAGATGTTGCCACACACCAAACAGTTAATTATAAATCAATGCAACAGCAGTAATAGATATATGCAGTGGACTTTCAGCTTCAATAACCCCAATGCACTTGGTAATAACCAAAACAATTATAGTATCCAGAGTGCTTAAGTTTGTTTTTAAAATCAATCACTAAGCTTGTTATATTTTAACTTTCAATATGTTATCCTTTGTTGAAACAGAGCTTAATACCAATTCGAATTTATTTACAATTTTGTAGCAAGGAGGGGCAAATTATTGTACTCTGCAGGTTATATTTTCCATAATAGTTCTATAGATTATATTCAAATTTGAAAACCATAAATGAATATTTCGATTGATAATGAAAGAAACCATTATGGGACGAATCTTTACAGCTATGTCCATTTGTCTGTCTATATGAACATCGATATCTTTACAACCATAATAGCTTGGGACATAAAACTAGGTGCAGAACAAGTTGATTGCAACTCATATACTCTTAGTATATTTTGTTTTGCATTAGAAGGATCGGGGCTAAAGCATCATTATGCATAGTCGTATGTTCTTCAAAAATATTTAAATCTGCATATTTAAGAACTAGGTCATAGTCTTAAATACAATCAAGTGGGCTGCATCATTTATGTATAAAGCAACTGCACGATTCTATATAATATTAATATGTATATTTTGTGGCACAAAAATGCTTGCTTTTGCTAAATAAACTACATTTTTCAATCAAAGTTGAACTATGTGAAAAATTCAATAAAGCAAGCATGCATTTAAGCAAAAAATAACTTTTCACAAAAAGTTTAGGCAAAGTAAGTTTGTACGTAATTATTTTTATGCATTTTATGTGAATTTGTTTGCAAATATTTGGTATCTTCCATTCTGGCATTGTGGTAAGTCAAGCCTTGAGCAAAATTTATGGAAATTTTCTGCAATATGCAGAAATTCAGATAAATGCATACAAAAGCACAAAGCGCAAAAGTCGCGCAAAATAGAAAATACAAAATGGCTTGGCTTTGTGGAAACTTTGCCGGTGCCGTATGTTAAAGTGCGAATGGGGAATAAATCTCGGCAAATACGAAACGCCATGAAGCGAACAACTGAACATGGAAGCACTTAGCGAGTTGCTGTCAAGCTGCCTAATTTATGAGTTCTCGGCGACTGCACTGGGAAAAACGTAATCAGATTTCACCTTCGAATCTGGAACTTTTCAATTGGAGCCATTATTGGTAAACAACAGCGGGCATTGAAAGACTTCTTTGAAATAAGAAGTTAAATATTTGTAAACAAAAATACTTGTATATACGTGTGTAATCTTTATAAAAATATTCCAAACAAAGCAAAACTTCTGCCTTTAACAAGATTAAGTTATCGAAAAAGCAAAAGCTATGAAATATGGAGTATGTTAATATTTTATTGTTAAAGTTACATTAGCGCATCTAAAGATGGACATTAAAATGTAAATTAAAATGCATTTATTAGCACAACAGAAAGTTCTCTAATATGAATAAGAAAATAATGTTAAAGTTGAGCAGGCTCAACTCTTAAATACCCTGTACCACTCCACAAACAAAAAAATATTAAAAAAATTGAATTAATTAAATGAATTAATTAAATTTACATTTAGATCAGAATCGTGTCTATGCCTGTTTGTGTACTTGAACATATGTATGTATGTGTGCATGTATGTGTTACATAATTATGTCAAAGCAGCAGCAGCAATCAGAACTTGGTCTTGGTTATATGGCTATAACTTTCTTTATAGTCAACTCAAAAATATCAAAATAAAACTTGGGATGAGAATATATAATTACTAACTGGATGTGACTAGTTTAAAATTCCAAGAATAATGGACTTGGTCATATCGACTCGGTTTGTCATCTTGATCAAGAATATATATACTTTGTGGGGTCTGCCAAGCCTCCTTCTGTGTGTTACATGCACAAAACTAATGTACCCTTTTACCCTTTGGGTACAGGTATAAATATTATGTAAAGTATGTGTTTTTTAGATGGGGTAACTCGTTCCTCAGACAAACAGCTAATATGAAAAAAATGTTTCTTCGAAAAGAATAATCTATACCCTAAGCAAACTATATTATATCCAAGAGCATAGGGACAAATTCAAAATTTCGTTAGCGTATGGCACCATAGATTCTCTCAAAGATATGTCCTTCAAAAATAATGAGGGTGTCAAATGTGTTTTAGCAATAAGGAGCTTGAGCTTAAATGGAAGGAAATGCTGCCTCAAGGAAAGATGCCTTAGTTCACTATAAGGTTTCCTACTGCCTTATCAACGTGATCATGGCAAGATAATGTCTTTAGATACTTGTAGTGTTTTTATGGTTATCTCTAAAATAATTGCCTGCTTTACGTATTCAATAGGTTCGATGGTAAGTTGAAATTTCTTTAGATTTCTGTAATATAGAGCATTTAGATCTATTGATTGTGTATGTAGCGCTTACATGAATAGGGTTTGTGTTGCAAATTTTTGTGAGTGTAGGCCGCAAAGGTAGGTGTGTCGGTTATTTTGCCAAAGACATCGAGAAAATAGCTGCAGATTAGACACAGACGACTGAACTGAAACAATGCATCGGTTGGGAGATATGCAGTCCTTGCTTGCCCGCAAATCGATTCGTGGAAACTTGGCTTTGTTTGCTTGCTCATGTGCAGCAAATTTAAATATATTTTGGCATAACAAAAAAAAGCAACAGTATATGTAATTGAATAACTGGAATATATGTAAATGGAAATGAATCCTGAATTTAATAAAATGGCAATGGCACAAGTTTTCCTCATTTTATGGGCTTTTCATTTCGCTTTGCCTTCCATTTCAATTTGCCTTTGAGTTTTGTTTGAAAATGTGTCTGCGTTTCCGTTTCGGCCACGTGGCCCACTTAGTGACAACTTTTGCGCTACATTTTCCTTATTGTTATTATTATTACTTTTATTTCGAGGTTTGCTGACATTTATTGCAAAAGTAAATGTTTGATGATAGTCACGTAGTGGCCATCACATCCACCAGCATAGAGCGGCATAGAGGCGAAAAATGTTGGAAAGTTGAAAGTTGTCAGCATGACATGCAAAAAAAAAAACAAAACCAAAAACACAAAAAAACGAAATCACAAAACACTGAAACGTGCCTTTTGACATTTTGCGAGACAAGTAGGCCTGCGCATGTGTGTGTGTGAGACATAACATGCTCGTCTATATGTATAAACAATTTTTAAAACAACCAACAACACACGATTGCACAGAGCCAGCACGTTTGAGTGTTTGTATGTGTGCGTGTGTGTGTGCTGTAAATTGAATTTCGTTGCCAAAATTGTATTGATTTAAAAGGCTGCAACAGCAGCCGAGCAACAGCATTAGGGTCAATTACCGCTACAAAGTGAATTGTCAACAAAATCAGAAGCAGCGGCGTCATTGTCGTTGCCGATGTCGTTGTTGCCACTCCGATAACGTGCACTTTACTCAACACATTGTTAAAATGCTGACAGCCAACTAGTCGTATGTGTGATGTCTTTTGTATGTGCACTTTGAGTGTTGCTGTATTACTTTCATTATCTGTGCTCATATTTGCCAAATGTGGCAGTGGCAGTGGCAGTAGTAGTTACAACACTCCCAGAGGCTGGCACAGGACAAGTTTTAAGCCGCTTACACTTCATGTTCGTCTTCTTCTTCTTACGCTATTACAACCACCTCACACTGAGTGAAAGTTATTATGTATGAATGTATGTATGTAGGCGACAGCTTACATGTCGTGTTGTGGCTCTCGTTTCATAAATGTGGCAAAAGAAAAACTATTTCGAAGTGTACAATATTTTGAGAGCGCTTTTGAAGAAGTTTACTCTGCGGTTTGCTATGTTTAAAATGTTATAACGCTACCCGTTAGAACGCAACTGAACTGAGCTGAACTGAACTTTTGTGTGCCAAAAACTATGCACATGAGTGCCACAACGCTAAAGTCCCCCCTTAGGGCCCCAAGGTGCGTCAGCTGTAAATATTTGCCTTTGTGGCGCTACTGAAGGACCAAGACATTTACTAACTGAACAAACAGCTTTCATGCATGTGTGTGTTTGACTTTTAGACAGACTCTTAGTTTAGTATAGTTTAGTTCAGTGTTTACTGTATACAATGTATGTACCTGGAAGCTGGTCCCGCTGGCGCAATAGCGGAAACAACAGCAACAAACACAACTGAATGAAAGTCAATTTACGTGCATGGCATGTCATCTTTGGCAGCGTCTAGTCAAAATTTGTCCAAAGCTATTACAAAAGCTCGCCTACATCGCTCACATGGCGAGCAAGGTATTTAAGAAATTTCAATTTGCGATAGCTAGCGAGCAGTGTTTTGAATATGAACAGTGGTTTGACTTTGGAGGGGGGAGGTGTGCTGGCAATGGCGGATGTCAGACCGGGCTTGAAACAAAACACATTTCATACTTGAGAAAGCTAATTAACTTCGTTTTACGAGGCATAAACTTCCGACATTAAACGCATTTATTCTCATGTGAAAATAAACAAAACACCATAACACAACAACAACAAAAACATTGGGTATGTTTTGACGTGGCGACAGCGTGTGTTATATTTTTGTATGCATTAAAATTGCGCTACGCATACAAACAAAAAACGTACACTCGTACGTATTCCAGTATATATAGCAAGTGTAAATTTACGACTTATTTGGCACGCACACAACACACTTACACACACACACACGCGCGTCCAGGGTAAAGAGAGCCGCCGCTTGAAGGGCAAACAGGCCAAGTGTCTGCTGATATTTAGCATCTTGGTTGAACCATTTGGTGTATTTATTTAGCACGTACAGGCACACATACCTCTGAATATTTTGTTTCTTCTTTTTAATTAACAAATTCCTCGACTCTGCTCGTAATCATTGACTCATAATTAACTTTGCCGTAGAGCTGTACAGCAATGCTTAAATGAAAAAACAAGGCATATGTTCAAAAAGGCCTGAAGTGTGTAAGTATTTAGTGTGTTTGTATTTTTCTGTAAATCAATTATTGTTAACTGTACCCTAAAAGCATGCTACACTTTCCGTGCAAAACGCATTGTCTTGGTGTGGAGGTTATCAGTAGTTTCTTAAATAACAGTGAAGCTTAACAGCTTTGAGCATATTTCATTGTTAACATTAACATTATCGTTACGTTACATTAGTAATACGTATGTATACACTCTGTGTAGCTGGCTCTCTCTTTTTCGCATTCTCTCGCAATATTTGGTTTAGTGAGACCGGCAAAATGTGTTACGCTCGTGTTGCTCAATGTTTACAGTTCTGTTACTAAAGCTTGTTGCCATTCAAAAAGTAAATATAAAACAATTTTAAATGGAAAAAAAATCGCTTAGAAAAACAAAAATACTTTTTATTTTGAAATACATTTGCTACAATGCACATCAATTTTCCTGTGTAAATACAACTAAAAACAAATAGCTTAGGCGAAGCAAATATGCGAGTATGTACATATGTGTGCATGTTAATTGCAACCAACTGTAAAGCCAGCGCATTACTAATTGTTTATTTTGCAATATGCACATCGCACATATTTAATTAAAGTGTCAAAACTATATTCAACGCGTTTATAATTACATTTTGCAAACTAGCGTATTTCATTGTCATTGTAATTATAATGAATCACGTGGCCATGTTAGCAATTGACGAAGCATCCCCAAACGTTTATGCTGAATAAACAATTTAATTGAATTTTCGGGAATCGGTGAGAATTTCAAACTGGCGTGCGTTCTGCTGTGGTCGAGTATTTTGTAAATTGCAACAAACGGCTTATTAAATTGCACCACAATATTGGCCACTAAGTGCTTATAATTGCAGCTCAATGTGAACTTTGTGCCTTGTATTGTAAAGTTGCATGATCCGTAACACCTTGAAGCACTTCAAGAGCCGCACTCACGTTTCGTTTGTTCGGCCAAGTGGGCTTTCTAAACTTTGAAAGTGCTTCTTCACGCGCAGGCACATAGACAAGAGCTGAGTGTAAGGGAACTGAGACAGACATTTACCCGGCGAGTGGACACAGCTTATTACGTCGTTTTTAAAAGGGCAGCTGTGATGAAATGTTTGTTTAATAATACATCCTAACATCATAGATAAGGAACGATTCAATGGCTCTGACTCAGCAGCAGCACAAAATTTCGGTAAAATAAATCGTTTGAGTCGCCACAATAGCAGTTTTCCTTATACTAATGACTTGGTCTTATCAATAACTTATTTGATGACTGAGTTGTTAGAAACTTAAGTGGACACTTCTTCGCTTATCGTTACGAATGTTTGGACTGCCCAAACGATTCATATAAAAGCGTGTAGTGCAGGTATTAGCGGCAGAAAAGACTATTGATCACTCGTCTAAGAATACTATTTGTTGCAGTACCCGATAAACTTGCTAGGATGAAGTTGCTTTTCACACTCGCTGTGTTGTCTTTGGTTGCAATAGCCATGGCCAATGCAGGACGAACGGCCACACGCTATGATAACTTCAAGGTATACAAAGTCTTTATCAAGAACCGTCTGCAGCTGGAGGAGTTTAAGAAAATCCACCACCAAATACCCGTAAGTTCGTTTAACTCAAGCCTAAAACCCTTATTTATTAAACACATTTGTGCCTGCTGCAGGTGCATTTTCTAAATGAGATTGCGGGTCCTGGTCGCAGCTATGATATAGTTGTGGCACCCGGGCATCAGCGAGCCATAGAGAAGCTTTTTGACTTTTTGGAAATTGTCTTTGAGACCGTGATCGAGGATCTGCAAAAGTAAGTGCTTAGCGATGTGAAGTAAGCACATCCAAACTGTAATCGAATTTGGAATTTATTTACAGAGTGCTGGACATGTCGGCCTACTCCTCTGGCTCCGACATGGACTGGGATACGTATCATGAATTGGATGTAATTTATGATTGGATTGATCAGCAATGTGACAAGCATGACTTCCTGGATTGCGACGTCATCGGGCACTCGCACGAGGGGCGTGCCATCAAGAGTGTCAAATTGTCTAAGAAAGGCGGCAACAAGGCCGTATTCATTGAGGGAAACATTCATGCCATGGAATGGATTTCGTCAGCCACCGTAACCTATATTTTGAATCAGCTTATTAACTCGGACGACTCCAAGATGCAAGAGTTGTCCGAGAAATACGATTGGATCTTTGTGCCCATGGTTAATCCAGATGGCTTCGTATACACTCACGAAGTGGAGCGTTTATGGCGCAAGAATCGTCGCCCCAGCGGCTACACCAACTCCTCGGGCGATTGCTATGGCATTGATATGAATCGTAATTTCGATTACCATTGGGGCGGCGCTGGCTGGAACATAGATGAACCTTGTGATCATTGGTTTGGTGGAGACGAGCCTAACACTGAAGTCGAGATTGTTGCATTGCAGAAGTTTGTCAGCTCCTTCGATGATGGCTATATACGCTCATACATGGCGTTCCATGCTTACGGCCAGTACATTCTGCTGCCCTACGGCCATTCGAACACCGAGTTCCCGCCCAATTACGACCAAATGATGCGCATTGCCGAGGCATTTGCCGATAGCGCCGTTGAACCCTACGGCTCGAAGTTCACATATGGTGCCAGCGGCTTGTTGAACTGTAAGTAAATGCTTGAATTCTAGTCGACTTGAAACTCCATTTGCATTGCTTGCAGATGTGGTGTCCGGCGCTGCCAAGGATTGGGCGTATGGAGAGAAGAAAATCCCTTTCACCTGCACTGTCGAGTTGCGTGACAAGGGCACATATGGTTTCTTCCTGCCGTCAAACCAGATCACGGAAGTGGGCGTCGAGGTTACGGAAGGTCTAAAGGCTTTGATTGACAAGGCCGAGGATGAGGGCATATTCGACTGAGAACACGACTTGAAGTAAAACACATTGTTATTGAGCATATAAAAAATTGTTACTTGATTTAAGTTAATACTCAAGTTAAACAGCAAACTTTATTGAAATGTTAAATTAACCAAACAACTTAGAATGCGTATCACAACGTTTAACATTTGCCTAAACTGCTTGTCAGCTAAGCAGTCACATACTGCTTGGTGTGCGTGTGGGTACGGCATTGCCAGCCGCACATACATACAAGTATGTCACTAAAGCACGGGGTATGCAATGGTTTGTGCACGTGCTAAGCTTTAGTTGGTCGCGTTCCTTACGAAAAAGTAACCGCGTGCTGCAGAGCTTTTTGAAAGCTTGAAAATTAATTTTTGAACTATTTAAAAAGTGCAGCACCTGCTCTTTATCCTTGCTCGTGATATGTGCAAATCATATGCAAATCTGCCACGTTCCAGCAGTATCAATAAATATGAATGTAAAAGAGCATCTTCTTCGTCAACTTACAGGTGTGTGCAGCAATTTTTGGTTTGTGGCCACTCGAGCCCCCATTTGCCAAAAACTTGCACAGGACACGCAACGGCAAAACTTTAGCCAAACGCTGCCACCTTCGAAGACAATGCTGATGCAGATGCAGATGCTGCAGCCAACGCCAACGCCATCAACACCAACAGCAACAGCAACGGCCACAGCATAAAATTTTTGACTACAAAGTGGTTATTTTGTTTGAAGTAATCCACAAGAAGTCGTTAAAACTGTCGTTGCAAGTAGATTGATGATGGTTTCACGTGTCCGCCACAGATACGCGGGAAGCCGTGTGCTCCTCGCAGTTAAGCAATCCGGGCGTGCTCTTCAAACTTTCAGAAGGCTGGTTGCCAACCAACGCAAATCTGCAGCGGCTGCAAATGATATGTGGCATGGGATTTGTCCAAGCACATGACAGCTTTAAGAAGGAAATCACTTTATGCTTCTTCTTGTAACCGAATAGCTGCATAAACAGTATTAATTAACAATATATTTTCAACAAGTGATGCATTGAGAACTTCTTTAAAATAAACTGCCGAGCTAAAGTACTCTCTCTCTACAACAAAACGCACGTTGAACAAATCCCTGTGACATGCAAATGCGAGCAATATACAAGAAACCTTAGCTTAGCAAACACATCTGCTGTGCCCAGCAGTATGGGAAAAGAAATCAATAGGAATGAGAGTATAGTACTTTATAAAACGTTGCATTCGTTATCCATTACTCTTTAGCTTGGAGATAACTTTGTCAAAGTGGAGAAGGATAATACATGTAATCCAATATACTCATCCACAAGAAGGATAACAAAGCCAAAGGGGGAAATGTGATATGTTCACGTTTCGATACAGAATCCACGGGCTGATGTCGAGTATTTTTCAATTAATTCCTGCTGCAAGGCTAAATTGTTTTTCTATGGAAATGCTTTGGCACTGTTTTTTTCGCTTTAGCGTGGGTGTTGAGAAAGGAGAAATATATAAAGGTACGCAAATTAACATAAAAAACTCGTGCCTATAAGTGTTACACTTATTGGTGCGCAATATTAATGTAATATAGTTGCGCAAATGAGTAAAACGTGACGGAATTGAGGCTGGCCGGGTCTTCACCCAATAATGGGCTGTAGATCCATAATCTTTGGACACGGCTAGACACGCACAATTCAAAGCGAAATGCTAATTGCACAGATAAAAGTGGCACATTCGACTTAATTGTAAGCGGATAGGCAAAGAAGAACTTTATTTGTTTCAACAATATGAGTATGAGTGCTTGACTATTAAGCTGTCGTAAATGATAAGATGAAAGAAAAGGTGGTTTTATCTTGTTGCTGATAACAGCTTAAGGAGGCGTGCAGTTCGTTGGTAACGATATGGAACTCTCCCAGACAAGCTGGAAGTTTGTTGAGGTGGGTAAGTGAGTGGGTAAGTGAGTATTTTTTTTTTTGACTTTTGAGCCATAAACTAATGATATTTTATGCTGAATAAAATGTATAAAAAGCTTTGAGTGGCTTCCAACGCCAGCAGTCAGCTAGAATCCCTCAAGATGAAGCAATTCTTTGGAGCAACATTGCTAGTTTGCTGCCTATTGGCCGGCTCGGCCATCGCAAGTCAGCCAGAGGCAGCTCGCTTCGACAACTACAAGGTCTACAAGGTCTCTGTCAAGGATGAGGCCCAGCTGGCTGAGTTCAAGAAATTGGGAAACAATCTGCCAGTAAGTACATATACTATAATATTGATTTGGTTTTTTGTTTAGAGCAAAGCCCTCTGCCTCACTCTTAGGTGACCTATCTGCAAGACGTCGGCGGTGCTGACCGCGAGTATGACATTGCGGTTGATCCGGCCAACCAGCAGCGCTTGGAGCAGCTGCTCCAGTATTTGGAGCTGGCCTGGAATGTGCAAATCAACGATCTGCAAGAGTACGTTACACATTTCATTTACTGGCGAAGCGCATTTGTATAACCAGGCCTTTTATTTTAAATTGTAGCATTCTCGAACAGGCTTTATATAACAGCACCTCTCCTATGGACTGGGACTCGTACCATTCGCTCGATGTGATCTATGATTGGATAGACAGACAGTGCTTGCGCAACTTCTTGTTCGTTAAGTGTGAGGTTATTGGCTTCTCCTATGAGGGACGTCCAATTAAGAGTTTGACGATATCTAAGCGACAAGGAAACAAGGCCATATTTATTGAAGGAAATATTCATGCGGTCGAGTGGATTTCATCGGCCACCGTCACCTACCTCTTGAATGAGTTGCTCAACTCTGACGATCCCAGCATTCTTCAACTGACCTGGAACTATGATTGGATCTTTGTGCCCGTGCTTAATCCCGATGGCTTTGTCTATACCCATGACGTGGTAAGATTTCTTGAACTTTGAATACTGTCGATTGGAATTAATACCTGACCTTTCCACAGAGCCGTTTGTGGCGTAAGAACCGTCGTCCAACTGGCTTCAGCAACTCCTCAGGCATCTGCTATGGCATCGACATGAACCGCAACTTCGGTTTCCACTGGGGCGGTAAGTGAAATTTGTTCGAGAAGCTTGTTGCATGCAGCACTAACAGTCGCTTCGCTATCGACGCAGGTGCCGGCTGGAATATTGATGTGCCCTGCGATCATTGGTATGGCGGTGCTGAGCCCAACTCTGAGCCCGAGGTCCAGGCCCTTGAGAGCTTCGTCTCAGCTCTGCCAGACGGCTACGTCGGCGCCTACATTGCCATGCACTCCTATGGCCAGTACCTGCTGCTGCCCTATGGCCATACCACCACCGAATTCCCAGAGAACTACGATCAAATGTTGCGCATTGCCAAGGCTTTCGCCGATGCTGCTGTGGTGCCCTACGGCACAAATTTCACATATGGTGCCAGCGGTATCTTGAGCTGTAAGTGAAGAAGATTTACTCTCGCCCGTACGACTTTCAAACTAAACGTGTTTTTCTGCTCTTTAAAGACGTCGTCTCTGGTGCTGTCAAGGATTGGGCCTATGGCGTTAAGGGCATTCCCTTCACCTGCACCCTGGAACTGCGTGACAGAGGTCAGTATGGTTTCTTCCTGCCCGCTGCTCAAATCAAGGAGGTCGGCGTCGAGGTTACCCTGGGTTTGAGAGCTCTGATTGCTAAGGGCACAGAGGAGGGCATCTTCGGCTAAATAATAACTAAATAAAGCGTATTAAATAAACTGCATAATCACACATTTTTGTACTTGTATGGGAACTGGCGGCGGGTTTTATTTCTCTTTCAGGAGCATAATCTCGAATTCAATCCGATAAGAACTGATAGTACAAAATAAATACAAATACTGACTTTTCTTCCAAACCACACAACATATTCTGCTTTCTTTTTCTATTTTATTTAAAAACTGTAATATACAAGAATTGTAATTTCATTTTAAAGTGTAAATTTGTAAAGACTGTTTTATAAGTGCAACCCGTAAGGACCCTTACATCAAAAAAGAACGTGTGTTTAATTTAAAGTCCCGTTTTATATATAAAAACTGGTTCATATAGGTGCAAAAAGCTGGACTTAAACAACCCTTATATCGATTGAATCACCAGCTGACGTCGCTTTGCTTTAGTCATCAGCGCAAAAAACCAAAACAGCTTTGAATCCCTACAAGTCGGGCCCAAACAACCTGCTCAGCTGCCCCAGCAGATGCGTTTAGACTTCCCTTTTTCTTGCTGCCTGCTTCATTAAAAATTGAACCAGCTTAATTGCAGCTTTCGTGCCCCGAAACATGCTGCAAATGGGAATTGCAATCTGTTTGATGGCCTCAACAATCTACACAAGCCAGGCAAAGAAAGGACCTCGGATTGAGGAAGAGTGTGAAGTGTGGGGAAGAGAGTGTGGAAGCGCAGCTGTCACTGCTGATCGAGTCTGGAAGCAGCCTGCCAAATTTGATATATGGCTTTGGGAAGGGGTGCCAGGATCAATGCAACGACCACTGTCAGATTGCAGCTGCAAGTTCGTCTTGCCCCAGCGGGCATTGTGGATGCGTGCGTGAGGATTAGTGTTCGCGTGCCATCAGCTGCGGCAACTTCTACACTTTATACTAAATGTTGCAAGAGCCGAAAGCATTTAGACAACATCGTCGTTACTGGTAACAGACAACCGCTCTGGGCTCAAAACTTTTCACCGCTCCATTGGCGGAGCAAAGAACTCATTTGGCTGTCAATACCTCGCCGCACATGCAATCCAAAGTTGAACTGTGGCATTCAGCTTGTCACAAATTACGTGCAGCTTTTCAGTGGGTGCGACATTTGCAAGCAACTCGCACACACAAATACACACACACACACCTACACATTGGGGCATAGTAAGGCAAGTGGGGCCGTTGATGCCGCAGGTTATTGCCACAGCTTGTGAGCTACTGTCTCATTTCCGCTTTTGCCCAAACAATGCCAATGCACTGTGGAATCAAAGAGTCCGAAATTATCAAAGTTCCTTATACTAGGAGGAAGAGTCAAATCTTAAAACAATTCTTTTAGGAAATCTCTGTAAACGTATCAAAAATATGTTTGAATAAGAATCAAAAATGGTTGCTTATACTTGTTTGTTTTGTTTTAACTTGTTTATGTAACATTTATGCACGAATCGATTTATTAAGTTAAAATTTTCTGTTTTTTCGACTCTTTGAAAGCTATCAAGTTGTGCTTACCAGGTCCGAAGTCAAAACTTTTTTAATTTTATGTTTTTAATGGAATTTCGAGTCTCAAGGAGAGACACTTTCTTAGGCTTTTTAAAGGCCTCATATGTTGACAAACATTTGACACTTATGTGTGATTTAAATTTTATTCAATTCCCTTAATTAATAAATTGTTTTCATTGCAGAATACTACGACATCCAGCACACGACATTTTTTATTGGCAAACAAACACAACACATTTTTATTTTATTTATTCAAACGACCAACAATGCTGTCTATGTAAATAAAAAATTACAACAATGAAAAACGTATACAAAATAAAACTAAATCATAAAAAAGCTTATCTAATAACGAATCCAACTTGGTGGGGGAACCTTATTTGCCAAACGTCCAGCTATGCCCCGATTCACAGCAGAGAGTAATCAGAGACGTTAGTAGACCTAATAAAAAGCTGCCGAAAATTGCAGTTCAACATGAAATAAATACAATTTTATTGAAATTTGGCAATTACGTTATTATCACAATTAGCTGTTATATATAATTTCTGCTTCATTTGAGTGTGAATTGGCAATTATGTTTACTTATTAACAGTAATTACATATATGGTCGTTTTTTCATTTGTAATTTGTTCACATCCGATCAGATTTTAACCAGAATTCGTTCATCAGCAAATGCAAATGCAACGAATGTGCAATGAAATTTAATATTTGACATTGTCATTACGTTGCCAAAGTGTACAAAGTGGCCAATGCTTTGGAAATTCAATTCCAAGTCGTGCCAATTGAGCGACAAGCCGCACCCACCCACACAATTGCACACCTACCTTAACCCGATGAGGTGGCTGGCATTTGAACAATACGTGCAATTTGTCAAAATTTTGCCGGCAGGAGACTTTGCTGCAAACAACTGGCCGACAACTGACATCAATTTGCACCGGGTCGGGCAATTAATTTAAAGCGAACAGCACGAGCACGTTTTGGATGTCCAGTACTGTCCGATGTTAAAGTATGGTATAGTGGTTTAGTGTCACATATTCATAAATCGCAATGTCGCACTTATGGCCATGGCCATGGCAATGGCGGTGGCGGTGGTGGTGGCAAGTGGCTAAGAGGATAAATGAGCCACTGCTGTGGTCAACTGTTTAACATGTGGCGGCGGCAGCTGTGTGTGGTCTGCGACTTTGGCATGGATATCGATATCATATTCTATATTGGGTCGTCCATATCGACGTCAGTTGGTGCCGCCAGCTGTTCGAAGTGTGCCCACAAAATGAGTGTCGTGCTGTGGCTGCTGTTGCCTGGGATCGGTTTTCAAAACAAAAGTTTGTGGTTACCTCCAATGAAGGGGCGTTTTTAAAAAGCCATTCATGTGCATGACGATTACAAGCCAATGCTGATGCCAATGCCGATGCCGTTGCCGATGCAGAGTCCTTAAATAATGCACACATTAATGCCGTCAATTTAAATAAAAACAGCCAGCATTTTACGCTCGAGCACGCGCATTTTAATGCGAAAGTCAAACAAGCAGATAAAACGAAGATAACTCATACGCCCCATGTGATGTCCAATGACTGCTCATGGCTCGCTGCCTACGCGGACGCGGACGCGGTCGACTATCCAGAGCAGTAGCAGCAGCTGCATTTTAACGTTATTTCCGCTGCCAAACACAGAAGGCAGAGGGCACAGAGGACACATAGCAGCCTGTATCCTGCAGCCTGCAGCAGGCAGCCGTGTTGGTCAAGGACTACGCGCTCTGAGACCGCTTTTAAGTACCACAAACGTTGCTGTAGCTACCACTTGCTAGCCATCAGTGGCCCAGCAATGGCTTAGAGCGTACGGACTGCGTTTGGAATAGACTCTAGAATATATAATAATAGCAAGCCATTGCCGTGAAAGGTGTACTCGTTTTTGCATTTGCCATAATTGCTTTTACAGGCACTGGCCCAAAGCAGCTATAGCTGGGAAGCCCGCATCTAAAGGGGCAGATAACTATGTTCTAGCACTGGGCATAGATAATCAAAGCTCTTCACAAACTCACATACATAGATACTATGTGGACTGCTACATATTTTGCAGCCCACACAGCACACTCTGTCATCAATCACATCAACGTATGGAGCAATTAAATGCGATTAAACGACATCAATCATTAAAGAGCATTTCATATGCACAACGAGTACGCTTGTGTGTCGCTTACTATTTGGTTGTGGCAGCAAACCTTAATTAAATTGCGCAGTACGTTGCAATTGCGCTCAGCCATGAAATGCAAATGCAAAATAAATATTTAAGTATTTGTGCCCTGCTCATTTTTACCTCTGCGGAACACCTGCAGTCTATGTCGCTTGCCCCCCCATTTGCCCCCTTGTTGCTGCTGCAAATCAAATAGCTTCCACCCTTTTTTGCATAAGCAAGTAATACAAGTATATTCGTACCGACGAGTCCTCGAACTCACACTCGTATTTAACCCGTTGCATTCGCAAACATGTGAGCTGCACTTTTTGTTGTTGTCGGTCGCGCAGTTGGCCAGCAACTCTAGTGGACACAACTGTCCCTGCTGATCCATGAGGCAACAATGGGCGAGGTTTGATCAGAGAGTTGACATACGCTTTCCAAAGCGTGCAGAAAAAGGTCATGAGAAATTGAATAAAAACTGCAATTGATATATACGAAATTCATAGATAAAACAATATTTTTCAATTTTAACATGGGCACATTTTGAATAACAAGTTTAACAACTCAATTGTTAAAACAGTCCCTCCCATAGCAAATTTAATAACTCAATTGTTCCAATTGTTAAAACAGTCCCTCCCATCCCTCCATCCATATATATGCATATCATTTATTTGTTCCTCTGCCGGTTTAATTGATACTTGTATATACGAAATTTATAGATAAAACCAAATTTTTTTTATTTTAACATACATTTAAGGTACATTTTGAATAACAAGTTTAATAACTCAATTGTTAAAACAGTCCCTCCCATAGCAAATTTAATAACTCAATTGTTCCAATTGCTAAAACAGTCCCTCCCACCCCTCTCTCTACATATACTTGTATGTATATCACAAACCAATATTTTTAAATTTTACCATAGAGACATCTTTTCATTTGGAATAACAAAGTTAATAACTCAATTGTTCCAATTATTAACACAGTCCCTCCCATCCCTCCATCCATACATATGCATATCATTTATTTGTTCCTCTGCCCCTTTATTCGCTCCTCCATCCAAAGAATCACAACAAGTACAGATATCCACGATAATGTCGTGCAATTAGGGGAACTTATATGACATAGCATTGAAATATTGGCAAATAAAAAATGTTGATAATGGTTGTTCAGCAGTTTCTCGATTGTTATATTGATTTGATTAAGTACAGCGCCCTACTTTACTGTCTTTGTGTGTCATTTCTTTAACTAATTTGTGTGTCATACATTCATTTAAAACGGTTATGATGGTGCTGCTAAAATTTTGAGTATGATAAACAGTTTTTTATATAAACATA